GAATTGGACGGCCGCGGCCTACAAAAACCCTCCCTTTTATACAGAGAAGATATGAGTGGGGGTTATATGCAACTAGTTTAACGATACCGAGTAATAATGAAACTACCTTCTTTTAATATAAAATATCAGATTTTTCGACAATATCGATGTGAACCCTAACACTAGCTACCCACCCCGGCTTCGCACTCATGTACATGAATTATACATGTAAACCTTCTTCTTGAATCACTCTATCTATTATAAAAACCGCTTCAAAATCCGTTGCGTAGCTTTAAAGATTTATACTTTGTTTTATACTATGTAATGACATACCATAACAAGCTCTGCTTAGCCTGGAACTAGATTGTTATTGATTGTTGGCGTTGTGTGAATTATCATGAGATATTATTGTAATAGTAAAATATGTAATTAAATTTGATGCTCTCGGTGGTCAAGCCATTTAGCACACCGCCTTACATCCGATGGTCGCAGTTCGATTCCTCGCACGGCACTTTTTTTTATATTCATGAGTAGCTGAATATAAAAAAATTGCTGTACCCGCGACTTCGTCCGCGTGGAATTTAACTTTATTTTGACTGAAATAAAAGAATATTTCTAAAATAAAAGTAGCCTAATTCAGAGATTAGCCGGAACAAACAGACAGACAGATAGACAAAAATTTTAGAAACTGTTATGTTGGTGTATGTACCATGTATTAATAATTTTTTTAATACATGGTTATTTCAATATTAAAAACATACACTACAATTTTATTTATATGTATAGATGATTGTTTGTATCGGTCTGGGTGTTTTCTATGTATAATATGTATGTATTTAAAAAAATATATATCTACATATTTGTATCAGTTATCTAGTACCCATAACATAAGCTTTAGCTAGCATAACTTGGGTCTAGATGGCGCTGTGTGAACTGTTAAAAAAATGTATTAATCTAAAATTATAAAACTTATATATCTATGCTCTTGTATCAGTTATCTAGTACCCCTAACACAAGCTATATAAGCTTAAACCCAAATATCGTTTAGAAAAAGTTACTAGGTCTTTTATGGGAATAGGTATAAAAATTTACAATAAAATACCAAAGGATATGTTGGAATTACCCTTAAATAAATTAAACAAAACATCTGTTAAATCATATTTACTGAGAAAAGCCTATTACTCACTAAACGATTACTTGAATGACGAGTGTGCATGGCAATAGTTGTTCATGCACTGAATTTTCATTTAATGTTAGACATAGACACCTATATAAATATACATTGTAAATAAACTGGCTTTAAAAAAAAAAGTAATTTAATTGAGTTTCTTGCCAGTTCTTCTCAATTGGATCTATATACCGAACTGGACCTAAAGCAAAAAAAAAATAAAATTAAAATGTAAAAATTTGACGTTCATAAGCGGCTAAAATGTCCTACATGAATAAATGATTTTTGAATTTGAATTTGAATAACTTAGGACTAGATGGCGCTGTGTGAACTGTTAAAGAAATGAATTAATCTAAAATTATATAACTTGTACCCGGTCCGGTAGGCTAGCTTGTTTCATTGGATAGACATTAATTGATTTTCGATGTAGAACGCCCATTTTTCGCTGAGGGGCCGAGAAAAAGAGCTCCTTCAGTTGACGGCTCGTTTATGTTGCTGTCTGATCGTCTGTCCCACTCATCATTTTAGAAATGACACCGAATTTATTCGTAGGCAAATACTTCGTCGGTTTCTTTGTAAAATTACAATTTAATAATCTATTTTGTAAGAGTTTTACTACACTAATAATGAGTGCGTAGCGATTTCTATGTTGATTATCGCATGACTCTTACTTGTTATACTGTAATTATTTATATAAAAAAACATCTATTGAAAAGAGCAACACACAAGTTTCTTGCTCATTCTTCTTGTGATGAATCTGCATTCCGAATGAGTGGTAGAATCAAAATATGACTATTCAAAAGTGCTTGTAATGAGTGTTTATTTGAATAAAGATTATTTCTATTTCTATTTGATGGCATGTGTATTGTATTAAGCACTACGACGCACATAGGTAGTTGTCTATAAGATATAATATATATATAATGATCTTCATATTATATATACAACGACAGATATAGCGGTTTACCGTACCGCTTTACGTTCGAGGATCGCAGGTTCGATTCCTCGCACATAACATTCAGTAAGACTATAAACAACTATTATTAAAGTAAACAATATTAGTCTATCTCAATTTGATTGATTGATCAATTTGAACAATAAAAAAAAGAATATATATGTATGTATGTCAAATACATAGTCGTGTGTGTAATGTTTTTTTATTCATTTTATGTATATTTCATGCATAATTTAGAACAAAATATCATTCTATACTTCTTCCTTATTTGAACTATTAGTGTGCAAAATTTCATACATTTCCGACCGCGCAATTCCGGTAAAAAGGGACACAAAGTTTTAATTTCACATATTTATATATATATATACATTAATTCATTAGGAGAATATAATAGCTATTCAAAATCAGATCAGATGCTACGAATACTCGCAACGCTTTATTTCAGCGAAATGGTTGTGTAAATTATTCATCCATTTCGGTAATAGTGCCGGCTCCGTAGTCAATTTTGCAACAGCTCTCTGTAACTAGTTGGGGGGACTGTTTTAATTCAGATTAGCACACAGCTGTTGGACTGTGGACTAGGGTTGCCACGAGCATTCAGGCATCATAAAGAGACGTATCCACGTTAAAATTTGTAGTTACATATATTCTTCGATTCTCTTCGACCTCGGTGGTCTAGCACACCGCCTTACTTCTGATGGTCGCGGATTCGATTACTCGCCCGGCACAAACATTTGTATTCATGAGCATGAATACAATGTTTTGTGTAGGTCTGGCTGTTCTCTATATATAATATGTATGTATTTATGAAAAAATATATCTATGTGTTTATCAGTTATCTAGTACCTATAACACAAGCTTTAGCTGTCTTAACTTGGGTCTAGATGGCGCTGTGTGTATTGTTCTGAGATTATTATTATTTATAGTGCCGGCTCCGTAGTCAATTTTGCAACAGCTCTCTGTAACTATGTACATAGTTGGGGGGACTGTTTTAATTCAGATTAGCACACAGCTGTTGGACTGTGGACTAGGGTTGCCACGAGCATTCAGGGATCATAAGGAGACGTATCCACGTTAAAATTTGTATAAATATTTTTACTTACTTACAAAGTGGTTGAAGGCCACATCTCGCCTGAAGGTTACGAAAAAATCACCTTATTTCAACAAGTGGATAAATTTTCACATATATTATTAACCCTACGGAGTTATGGTGAAGAGGTGTATTAGATTCTTACTTTCTAAAAAAAATGTGGTGTACCTACGAGCTGCATTGCCGGAGTCGCGAGGTATCGTTTTTTTTATTTTTTTTACATTTATTCAATTTACACAATACAAACTTACAGCTAATTGCCAACACGTTTATATTTTAAAACTGTATACTTATGCCAGCATGTTAGACCTTACCTAAACATAAATTTAATAGTTGCAATGGTCACTTAGTGGGACAATTAATAGCGTTGATTGTGCGTATCTACTACGACTCCGGCGAAGTAGGCCCGCCCTATAGATGGTGTAGGGCAGGCCCATACTCGTTTGTTAGGGCAACCAATTTCACTACTCATAGTCGACAACCCTACTCTACTAATGTTTGCTCTACAGAAATTCCAAGTTGAAATAAAATTGTTACATGACATTTCGTATGGTTATTTCGTATAATACATGACACTACACCCGTCGTCACTTTATAGGGGTAAACTATGAATATATATATTTTTCAGACTACTCTAATGCTGTTGGCCACAGCTGGCCTTTACTGCTTCACCAGATGAGAGGAGACGAGTGTAGTTGGCACTCCAAACCTGCGGATGAACTCATGAAGACGAAGAAGGCGATCTCCTGCTAGACGGATACGACTTTAGTGTGTGGGCACTGTTAGGGAAACTTTCGATGTATAAATCGACAGAAATTTATCGCTTGCTTTTTTATTTCTTAAAATAATATTAAATTTAAACATTTTCGAATAGTCATCCTTAATTTTTCATCTACTACTCATTCGGAATGCTGTCTCATCACAAAAAAAACGAGCTAGAGACACTTGCTTAAAAGAGCAACAGCTCTTAAATAAGAAGAACTAGCTAGACACTTACGTGTTGTTTTTTTTAATAATTTAGTTGTAACATGTCTATTTTTTTTTATTGGGTTGTTTGGGCTATTGCCAGATGTTTGTAGAACCTGTAGCACTGCGACCTACATAGATCTATTGTGCTCGCCCTTTTTCAAAGTTCGCTACCTAGACAAGAATTGAAGAATATTCTTAGGAGCAATGGTTTTTATCTCCTCGGGAAAGAGTGTAAACTTTCCAAAGGAGATATTTCGTTTATGCATGAGTGGGGTACAACCACATAGGATGTGAAGCGGCGTTTCCTCTTCAGTTTGGCAAAATCTGCAGATAATGTCTAGACAACTGATATAAATACATAGATTTTTTTGTAAATACATTTATAATATACATAGAAAACACCCAGATTATCACTAATAATAATAATCACGAATAAAAATGCTTGTACCGTGCGAGGAATCGAATCCGCCACTATCTAAAGTAAAGCGATGTGCTAAACCGCTAGACCACCAAGTCCATCCGTCTCGTACCTATGGAAACAATATCTCATCTTAATTATGCGAAAATTAAATATTTTGTAATTTATTTTATCTATACATATAAATAAAATTGAAGTGTCTGTTTGTAATATTTCAATAACCGTTTTTTATTACATGCGTATGAATATAAATACGGTACATACACCAAAATAACATTTTTTACAATTTTTGTCTGTCTGTTTGTTTCGACTAAGCTCTGAAATAGCTGGACCGATTTTGACTTTGATTCTAGGAGTAACTTAGGCTACCTTTATTTTAGAAAAATCTTTTGTTTCACAAAAATAAAGTTAAATTCCACGCAGATGAAGTCGTGTGTACAGTTAGTCTCAAATAATATTAACATTAACATTGTAATTTCCTAGTATATCACAAACAACACACTATACACCTATTTAGGTTAGGTCCAAACTTTTAACTTCGTTATAAAATAACAAGGCCTCCATTTTACAAAGCGTTCTCGAAATAGTTAGCGAATTGTTTAACTACTTCTTTAGGGACCCGTCTCCAATGTCCCTTTGAGGAATGTATACTCTCTCGAATAGTTGGCCCATCCTTTCTCCATCGAGACAATATCCGGCTATCACGCTATCCTCTCCAAATGATTTATTACCAACAATAACATTACCGACCCTGTTACCTCGCATTAAGGATGATATCTCGCTATCATAACTTTGGTTCTCATCTCGGCCCTGATTTTGTATAGGCCTACCTGAGTACTGGCTGTGGTTTGTACCCCGTATACAATTTCCGCACATAGTTTCGTTTTGAACTCCACATGATTTTTGAATTAGAGATTCCAATGTTACTTGATCATTTAGTCTCTGTTGAATAGCAGTGGTTTGAACATTAGCGACTATGTCTTTATATTTAATTTCTAATTTATCTAAAGCCGAAACCAAATTTGTTTGATTTTCGTCGGAAATCTCGTCAATAATCTGGGTCCTCTGTTTCGCAAGCTGCAGTTGTAATGAACATTCAGTCATATGTTTTTCTCGTTGTAATTGGACTATTTTGGCCTCATATATTCTAATACACTTAGTTTTAGCTTTTTCTGCTTTAAATAATCGTTTTTCTAATTGGTCTATTTTAGATTTCATATTTTCAGTGTAGGTATCATCTTTCGGATCCTCTAAACTCTTTTTAAAAATAGTTTCCAATTGCTTCTTTTGTGATTCTACTAAATTTTGTAATTGAATAATTTCGCTATCTTTTTGTTGAATTAATTTATCTTTTTCTGTTATTATATTATCTTTGGTGGTGCAGATATCCATTTTTTCACAAATAAGCTTATGTTCAATATCTTTAATTTTTATTTCGTAGTTGTATTTTTGTTCTTCAAACTTATTTCTATATGCTTCCATAATTTCATCCTTAACTTCTGACTTGGCTGCTATTAATTCTAATCTGTGACTTGTTTCGATGTCTCCGATCTCATGTCTTTTCATTTCGTCATAATTATCTAATTTTTCTTGTAACAGCTCGATAGTTTGTATAAGATTTCTTTTAGAATTTTGAACTTCTTGCAGCTTTGACTTTAAAGATACTGTTGATTTACTCTCGTTGATATGAAAATAAGCACTTGTTGTGTTATCTACTTTAATTATATCGTCAGCCAACTCCTTAAAATCAGACTTGATTTTTGATTCATTTTTCAATGTTATTAGCTCATTGCGTAATAGCATATTTTCCGCTTTTATCTCTCTCAATTTATTAATTAAATTTTTTGTTCTAAATTCATAGTTTTCTTCCTGACAATCGAAATTACTAATTTTGTTTATAATTTCTGGACAAGTGTAACAAAAAACATTTTGATTGTGTATTGGTATATGGCTTTTTAGGTTACCTGTCTTATTTTCATATCCATTATCTTTATTTCTACTGAAAACATCAAGTTCAACGTCTTGAGAAAGATTTCTATACAAGGTATCTGATACTAGAGATTTCGTATTATCAAATAAGATTTTAGTGTCGTCTTTATGTTCATTTATATATTCTATTTCAGTAGATGAATCATCGCTGTAGGATTCATCAGGCAGCGGTTGCAGGCTACCGTCTATAGGATACTTGAAAAATGGATCTTCTAGTGCGCCTCTAGCCAATTGATAACATAGTGCAAATATATATTTATTACGTAAGCCTTTCTCCTCTTCCGTACAGCTGGAAAGCCTTTGGATCCAGGCATTGCACAATTTGATCACATACTGGTCTCTCAATAGGCCCAAATAGGGTCGTAATATTTGCAAGTATCGTTTGAATTCTATATCAAGACTGGAGTCATTTTCATCCATGATTTTGAAATATTATTGTAAGTTCAATAAATTAGAATTTTCGTATAAAATATAAATGCCAAATAGTGACATGTAATTATCGTTGTAATCATCTAAGAAAAACTTATTATTGTTAGAAGAAATATAATACAATTTAGAAAGGAGATGGTATATTTAATTTAGATTTAAAATTAATTAATAGCTTACGATATTTTACCAATAAATTTTTATGCGTGAAAGTATAATAATTATAGGCATCCAAAGGTTATGATAATTATATACCTAGCTATTAACCCCGACTTCGTCTCTTTTCTTATATCAATGACAACCTATATGTTCTAGTGATAGTTTAACCTTTCAGTCATGAAATTTAACAGATATACAGACAGATAGACTCAATCTCTTCTATAGTAGTAGAATATTATGTTATCTGTGGTAGTAGTATATATTAGGCCAGCGATATATTAAAATTTATTTTCTATTCTTTTGCTATTTGTCTGTTAGAAGCTTTATTTAGAAATGTACTTTAGATTTTTTCACATCGAATTCGCATACATAAAATACCATTGGTGGAAGTTTCCGAGGAATTAATCGGTCAGACTTAATTTTATTATCTTTCGGCCTACGAATTAGGAGTAAACATTTTGGGACATCTTTAAAAAATATTAATAGCAAAATTAGAAGGTACACGGAATATAAAATAGATAGAGATTGTGGGGCGAGTTGTTAAGGCGCTTACCTAGGGGCCTCGCCTATCACAACTTAATAACCCATAAGCCGCTTCTGCGCCGATACTTATTACGATGTTAAATTTAACCGTGAAATATACTGCCGGCCAGTCTATTGTATGTACTTGGTACAAAGTAAGTATGGACGACCTCGGTGGTTTAGTGGTTTCTACACCGCTTACTTCTAATAGTCGCGAGTTCGTTTCTGTACAAGGTAGAAATATTCATGCCGCTGTCAGGAGTAAGACGGTGTGTTTAACTACTAGACCATCGAGGTCGTCGAAGTTGTCTTAGTTTTTTCTATTTTTTCGGCCAAGCAGCTTGTTTCGCGTATGTATTATTAAAAGTTACGAGCGGTATGATATCTTAGTCCTTAAGAACGAGTGAGTTGTATCCGACAGGCAGGAGATGGCCTTCAGCCGCTTCATAAGTCCTTCTGCGGATTTGGAGTGCCATCTGCACTCGCCCCCTATCGTTCGGTGTAACTGTGAAGGCCCGCTGCGGCAAAAGCAAAGAAAAGTAAATTGTTGGCCTAATATATACTAATACTATACATAAGATGGAATTTACATGTCAGTATATCTGTTACCTTTTCATTTTTTTTTATACTAAAATGGTGGCATCAAGCATGTGGCCTATCTGATGGAAATAGAAATAGAAATAATCTTTATTCAAATAAACTCATTACAAGCACTTTTGAATAGTCATATTTTGATTCTACCACTCATTCGGAATGCAGATTCATCACAAGAAGAATGAGCAAGAAACTTGTGTGTTGCTCTTTTTAATAGATGTTTTTTTATATAAATAATTACAGTGTAACAAGTGAGAGGCATGCGACAATCAACATTATTATTAATGTAATCAGATAATATTGTCAGTGCTATGTATTTAAAAATTTTCTACAAAAACATTATTATCGTTAACGAATTCTTCAATTTTATAGTAAGCTTTTTTGCAAAGGAAGTGTTTTATTTGACATTTAAATCTTTTTTCTGGCAGATTTATAACAGACTCTGGTATTTTATTGTAAAACCTATGGTAAATGGTTACCGTACCCTATGAACGCCTGAAACACCAGGTGTATCACGTGTGCGTTGCCGACATTTAAGAAACCTTAATAGGTTCTTCTTGAAAAATCCCATGGAGTAGTCATCACTGAAAGGTAGAACTATAATTAGAATAGGGGCGAAATAAAAACGCATGAGATCACATGGTGTTGTGACGTCCATAGGGTATATAATAATAATCTTAGGACACACACAGCGCCATCTAGACCTAAGTTAAGCAAGCTAAAGCTTGTGTTATGGGTACTAGATAACTGATATAAATACATAGATTTTTTTTCGTAAATACATACATATTATAGATAGAAAACATCCAGACGGATACAAACAGTCATAGTCATGAATACAAATGTTTGTGCCGTGCGGGGAATCGAACCCGCGACCATCGGACGTCAAGCGGTGTGCTAGACCGCTAGACCACCAAGGTCGTCAATGTAGGTATGTAGGTATAGTTTCACCAGTTGCTAACCACTTCAGTTCCAACCCCCTGTCCCTCCCACTGTCCTAGGCATCGTCATTCCACCAATAAAGATAAAATTTCGAACTAAAATGCATTTCGCCATAAAAATAATCTTAGACATCTTTAGTGCTAACTAAAGCTACAAATGATATGCATTCTTATTCTGACACTCTTAAAGTAGGTTTTTCTTTAAATAGTGTTTAGGGTATGCTATTGCCTACATTTATTCTCTAGACAGTACTGTTTGAATATATATACATGTATGTTGGTAAATAAAGTAATCGTGAAAATGCTATATCCAAGTGCTTTAGGGAATGTAATAATAAAATATGAGCAATTTAATAGACTATTATTTATTTATTTAATTCAGGCTCATATTGCAAATACCTTACAATTAAATTCAAATTCAAAAATCGTTTACTCATGTAGGACATTTTAGCCACTTATGAACGAAAAATTGTTTTACATTATATTTTTTTCCCTACGGTCCAGTTTAATATATAGAGCCAATTGAGAAGAACTGGCAAGAAAATCAATTGAATATTTTATAGACTAATATACATATAAATGATATTAAAATGAATAGTAAAAAAAAGCGAATCATCTGCGACGGTAGCGCCGATACACCACACCCTTCGACCTTCATAAAGGAGGACTACTTCCTCCTTCGTGAAGGTTGTCAGAAAATTGGTGTGAACACGGGCTACAAACGTCTTCTTAAGATAGGTCCTGGTATTTGGAAAGGTATATTAGTAAAAGGGTTTGTGATTTGCACGGCGTGTATTGTAGAACGCAATGTTACAATAATGAGGAAGTGATTGAACCTAAAATTCAGTATGATCAGCAACACAAAGTGTTGCCAACAATTATTCTCAAATTTGCCTAAGATATAATCATTACATAGTATAAAACAAAGTTGCTGTTATTGTCTGTCCCTATGTACGCTTAAATCTTTAAAACTACGCAACGGATTTTGAAGAGATTTTTTTTTAATAAATAGAGTAATTCAAGAGGAAGGTTTATATAAGACAGAGACAGCTATAAAAACAAACGTGTCAATACTTATATACCCTTGGAAATGACTAAGCTTAAATCTCTTTCGCTTTAGGTAGGTTACTACTACGTTACACTACGTTAGCAATGCACATACTTCCCTATGGAAACGACCAAGCTTCAACTTCCTCCACCGGAGTTCTGCCAGCGTGTACCGTTAGCAATACATATAATTCCCTCTGGAAACGACCAAGCTTTAACTTCTTCCACTGGAGTTCTGCCAGCGTGTGCCGTTAGCAATACATATACTTCCCTCTGGAAACGACCAAGCTTCAACTTCCTCCACCGGAGTTCTGCCAGCGTCTACCGTTAGCAATACATATACTTCCCTCTGGAAACGACCAAGCTTCAACTTCTTCCACTGGAGTTCTGTCAGCGTGTACCGTTAGCAATACATATACTTCCCTCTGAAAACAACCAAGCTTCAACTTCTTCCACCGGAGTTCTGTCAGCGTGTACCGTTAGCAATACATATACTTCCCTCTGGAAACAACCAAGCTTTAACTTCTTCCACTGGAGTTCTGCCAGCGTGTATCGTTAGCAATACATATACTTCCCTCTGGAAACGACCAAGCTTCAACTTCTTCCACCGGAGTTCTGTCAGCGTGTACCGTTAGCAATACATATACTTCCCTCTGGAAACAACCAAGCTTTAACTTCTTCCACTGGAGTTCTGCCAGCGTGTACCGTTAGCAATACATATACTTCCCTCTGGAAACGACCAAGCTTTAACTTCTTCCACCGGAGTTCTGTCAGCGTATACCGTTAGCAATACATATACTTCCCTCTGGAAACGACTACGCTTCAATTTCTTCCACCGGAGTTCTGCCAGCGTGTACCGTTAGCAATACTTCCCTCTGGAAACTACTACGCTTCAACTTCTTCAACAAGAGTCCTGCCAGCGTGTACCTTTAGCGTAGCCAGGAGCACTATATCATCACAACACAATAAACAATTCTGTTTAAAAACTACTTGCTTTATTTTACAAGAATTTGTACAGTCGGGAGCGCTATATCACCATAACACAAACACAGTCCTGGTTAAAAACTATTTGGTTTATTTAACAAAAAATTGTATTACTATAGCACAGAACTATAAAAAGGCTTTAGAAAATTGCCCATCATTTTCCCATAGCCATTTTAACAAGACGTAAACGAGTATGTGATAACGTCACGTGCGATGCCGTTCATCATTTGGTACATTATATTCATTTTAAATAGCATATTATGCCGTGCGTAAATTCATGCCGGCGTAGGGTTTCGGGAAAGAATATAATAAATTTAAAAAACTTATCAAGATAGGTTGGGTTATGCAATTTTTCTTTCTCCAAATCTGAAACTGCCCATCTGACGAAGTATGTAACCCTTAAAGGCCACATCTTGTTCTTTTTATTTTCTATTAATAGACTTTTGGTCTTGGAATCCCATAATTTCTTTACGATTTTCAAATGATGTCTGTATGAAATTATATATATGAGTATCTGGTTTAAATTCTTATCGAGATAGGTTGGTTTATGCAATTTTTCTCTCTCCAAATCTGAAAGTGCCCATCTGACCTTAAAGAAGGCCACATCTTGTTAATTTTATTTTCTATTAACAGACTTTTGGTCTCGGTATTCCATAATTTCTCTACGACTTTCAAACGATGTCTGTATGGAATTAACGGCCTCGGTGGTCTTTGTTTTAGCACACCGCTTTCTGATAGTCGCGGGTTCTATTCCACAGACAG